GACCCCTCCTTGGGTTTCTGAGGTGGTATCTCTACAGAAGTAGATTGCCCAATCTTCCTTCTGAGGAGTGGCTGGTGGGTTTGAACCACCAGCCTTCTGGTTAGTAGTCAAATGCCTTTGGTGTTGATGGCACATAGGAAATGCTCAATATCAGTTATTGCTGTTAAGGGAAGAGGCACCATGAAGAACTGCTTTTCTCTCTGCTTGCTTAATCCCTGATCTGAACAACTTCCAATTCTTCCTTTTCCCCTATTTAGCTAAACTCTTGGTCCATCTATGTCAAGAGTTTATTGCCCTGTTGCTATTTAAATATCATTTTGAAACATATGCTAATGCTATAAACTTGTGAAAAATGAAATGGTGATGGAAAAACAAAATCAACTTAGAGTTTTCAAAGGTGTTACACTTTGTTTCTTATAAGGTAGAAGATAATTATTTTTATTTCCTGATTAGTTTTCATTTTACTATATCAACACTTAAAGAATATTTTAGATGTACATAGCAATGTCATTTCATTGTTAGAATTCATCGCCATAAAGCTACATTCTTTGTAATTTATTTTTACTGTCTTTTTTCTGCTAATTTTAAACAAAAGTCTAGAGCATATGCTGAAAATATTTGACATCTTCTGCTATTGGTTAGCTTTGCCATTAAACAGGCTATTTAATGACAATAATTATGATAGCTATCATTAATTGAGGAGCTCTGGTAGCGTAGTACCTAAGGCACTTGTGGTAGTTATGTGTGTGTGTCAGCTTGGCTGGACCTGGTTGAGTGGCTGGGCAGGTGGTGGTAGTTATTCCCCACAATGAGACTGGCAATCAACTCCATGGTGGGACCTACCACAAGCAGCTGAGTAGCTGCCGTTGGGATGTGTTCTACTTCCTATATATAAGGAGAAGCCTTGGGGATAGTCTCTAGTTTATGGCACGCTTGGACCCTGCATGTAGCTGTGTCTTTATTGAGCAGCCTGCCATGCTCTGCCAACCTTGGGACTTAAATGGACTTGAATTAATGGCCTGCCGTGTGGTTTGGTAACATCGGGACTGTGCCTTTTTACTCGTCAACCTTGGATTTTTCAGCTTCAGCAGCCAGCAGTTGTCTGAGTGAAGAAACGCCTCTAGTTCCAGTGGGCTGAGAGCAGGAGGCAAAGCTGGACCCCAAGGTTGAGGGGTTTTCATCCAGTCCCTAGAGCCTGGCACTTGAACTTGGACTTAAAGCCTCCAAATTGTAAGAATAAACTCCTGTTTGTTAAGGCCATCCCATATGTGGTATATTCTTGTCAGAGCGACACTAGGTAACCAGAATACCACTTGTCTGCTAATCAGAAGGCTGGTGGTTCAAACCCACCAGCCACTCCTAGGAAGGAAGGTTGAGCAATCTACTTTAGTAGTGATACTGCCTTGGAAACCCAAGGAGGGGTCGCTGAGTTGGGTCCGACTCGATGGCACATAACAACAACAATAACATCATTAACTGAGCACTCATTTTGTGCTGAAAACTAAATAATAAGAACATAAGGACCCCAAAACCAAACCCACTGCCATCGAGTTGAATCTGACTCATAGCGACCCCCGTTGGGTTTCCAAGGCAGTAAATCTTTACAGAAGCAGATTGCCCCATCTTCCTTCCATGGAGTGGCTGGTGGGTTTGAACCACCAGCCTTCTGGTTAGTAGTCAAATGCCTTTGGCACTATACCACCAGAGCTCTTATTGAGGACATAATATCAGGGATTTACTCACAAAAACAGCGTTTAAGCACTTAAAATGTCTGATTCATCAAAAGAAGATGAAATTATATGCACAATACCTATTAGAGAGACTGCTATAATAAAGAATGTATCATTAAAATAAAGGTGTTAGTGTCACTGTGTGTAGTATTTAAGGTTGTGTTGTGTGTCAGCTTGGCTGGGCCATGATTTTGAGTGCCTGGGCAGCTGGATGTAGTTATTCCCCATGATGAGATTATAATAACCTCCATGGTGGAATCTGCTATGAGCAGCTAAATAGTTGCCTTTGGGGTGTGGACTGCTTCCAGTATATAAGGAGAAGTTTTTTTTTGTTTTTTTTTTTTTTTAATTTTATTTTGATTTGGGCGAAGA